TTGCTCTTCGTAGTGAGTGCTTGGCTGTGAGCACTTTTCGTATAAGTGCGTAGTCACATATTACGGCTAATGCTTCTGTAGTTAAGACCTAAAGTGAGTTTGTGTAAGTATGATTGAACTGAATGTGTCGGATATGATGTCGGTACCATGGCAACTAATGAAAACAATGGCGTGTTAGCGAAAATGAAAGCGGTTTTTTTGTTATTGCTGTGTGCTTACAGACAAGTGGTTCGTATACAGCATAGAACAAAGGTTCTGAGGGGATCAGCGTCGGTTTAATAGTCTACTTTCAACCCAACAACAAACTGTGAGGTCAGCAAACCGAGTTCATTGATCGTTACTGAGTCGTCGATTTCAAACTTACGAATGCTTTCAGCAAAAGCCAATATGGAATCATGACCACGACAGGCAAACAGTACAATACGAGACATATCCGATTGAAGAGGTCAACTCTTGGTGCCAGCGATGAGAATGAAAGAATGAAACAAACAGCCGGACTAATGAGCTGTGGTTCAGAATTGCAAGTCCAAACTGGTGAATATAGCAAAACAGGAGAAGGTAAAAATAGTGAAGTCGATCAGGAAACCAAACAACCCCACGTGGAGTGTTGTGAATCTTGGCTTACCAAAATCAGAAACGACATCATGATGCCAAAGCCGACGGCCTCATTGAATTTGCTGCTTCCCGTATATCCAGTTAATATTGTGAGATCTATAAACAATTCAGATCAAGTCCACTATGCATGACCATGAGAAAGGCAGTTCGTAACGTATACATACCAACTGAAGCTAGCAACATGACTAGCGCTAAAGTTTTTTGCCTTTCAGAGTCACTCAGAAACATTTTGAAGGGGCTTGGTAGGCCATGATGGAAGAGTGCTGTAATAGAGGCAGATACTTGTGAGACGAGATGTAGATCGCCTCAACATCCTCAAGGCAACACCATACTCTGCAAATTAATGACAATGTCAGCTCCAAGAACGAGACTACCGGCTATCTACGTAAAGAAAGGGGAACCTGAGTTGGGTTCAAGGAAGGCTAACTGCTCGTATCTTGTGGATGTTGAGAGTTCTGCCTCACATGGCTTACCAGCTGAATCGCGATTGGGGTTAAGTCGGCCATGGGCGTCGTGACAGTGTGAATTGGATGAAAATTTGGTTAATTTCTACCTTAGTGTCTGGTGATGCCACGGTTCAATACGGATCGTAAGCTCCCAATCATAAGGGAAAGACAGTGGATACGACGAGGGCAAGAGGTCGAAAGTTACCATGCGATCATTACAACCCGAAAATGAAGATGGTCTTTGAAACTTTTGGGTCGACGGAGACACCTCATCGAATAATTAGACATGTTTCATGTCCAAAGCAGGTACGTGCATGCCCTTAAACTTCAACAATAAATGGTTCAGCATTGACGACGCGAAATGTCAATCTTGAAGCATGTGTGGCGTCCCATGGCTCACGTAAATTCTCGCTGTTGATCTCGATCTTGAATGCGAACTTTTTCGAATATGTATGGGTGAAACTTCACAAGAGCACAAGAGAGGGAGGCTGGAATCAAATAATAAACAATTCTGTTGAAGTTTTTCGTCCCGTTTTCTTGCGTTCTTGACTTGACGGTCAACGTTCCCATTACATTCTTGAAACCACCAGCAACGATAGACGCAATGCCAGAAGAAGCAACCGTGTTGCCCGCTGAGATAATTGAGAAAATACTTGAATACGTAGAAAATGATGGAGTCATGGATGTTAGGAGTCTTGCTCGGACGGCTCTAGCATCAACGCAATGGAATGAATGTGTAAGACTTGTTTCAAGAAATTAAGTTTGACGATTTATCACGTTGAGCTCATATTAATATTGCCTCAATAATAGGCTCTTCGAATACTCTACAAAGAATTGCCACCTCTTCGCAACGAACGTGAGGAGGATCTTCGCTTCTGCCATCACAAGTTGTATCGCATTTTAGCAAATCAGGCATTAAAGGGACAAGATGTTTTGAAGCATGTCAAAACGCTCACATTTACTGGACGACATGCTGGCCACGTTGATGATGCGGATTTACCTTGCCATTGGTAAATCAACAGTATCTGTGTTGCATGCGATTCTGCGCATACTTGCTCAACCATTTCTTATTCTGTTACAGCGTGGGAACGCTTCATATCGACGAGCAACGCACCTCCAGCCTATTAGAACGCTGCAGTAGTCTACGCCGAGTAAAAGTCTATGGTTACGTCCTCGGAGTATTCAAGTATGCTCAAAATTTGAACAGCCTTCAGTTATCACGCCTTACGAGTGACGAGATTTTGGAGGAGGGCGTCGGTCGTTTATTTGCCACGAGGAATCCCGATTGCAAGATAGGCGTCGCCATTCAGAAAGGAGCCATAGCAGCTTCAGTGCTGATGGCCATGCAGCATGTAAAAGTGGAACGCTTCGTAGGATATTATGCTGAAGACCTGCACTTATTTCTATCGGCTTTACGATCCTCTAGTATTCAGAGTCTGAAATCATGTAGTATATATGACGATGAAACTGGGCTGACACTCGACGCGAACTTTAGTGGGCTGTCAGAGTTTTTCAATATGAAAAGCTTTGAATTTGGTAGTGAAAGGCTTGTGGCAGATAATAGCCAGATATTAAAGTCTTTAGCTTCAGAGCAATGTAATGCTCAACTTGAGTGTATATCGCTTGAAACCACGGAGGTAGCAAATCAGGCTTCTACGGTTGCTACGGAGCTCATTGGACGCCATGCACTGACTCTTCGAAAATTGACTCTAAATGCCGATATAAGATTTGATCCGCCACTCACGGTTCCAATCCCTCATCTCGAGGAGCTGTCAATACCACGTAACAAAGGACAGGTACTCCAGCTCCTATCTAAGTATGGTAGCCAGCTCACGTGTCTGGAGATCAGGAACTGGTTCTATTCGTCAGGATTGGACGTGGAAGTTTTAATAGATTGCTGTCCGAATCTAGTGTCCACACACCTTCCGTACTATGCTAACGAGAACAGTATCATGCTTATGGCCACTAGCCTCACCAAGCTCCAATATCTGGACTGTAATAGCTGTCGAATATCTCATGAATTGGTACAACGCATTGTCAAAGCAAGGGCCCAGAACAAGATAAAGTCATGTCTGAATATGTATACAGATTCGTTTCGCCAGTATGATAGTGTCACTTTAGCAGTATATACATCGTCTGGAGGGGCGCTCTTGTGGACTCAAGCCAAAGTGATGCATCACAGGATGTATATTCGCCAACTGAAATCGAAACTGATGATGAATCTTGAAGGAGAGTAAGACTCAGAAGATGCAAAAGTATGCTTTGTAGCAATGCTTGTTTGGAAATTGATCACTTTTGTAGTCGTGTAGTTGATATTCGTTTGTAAGCCCATCTCGTAAAGCATATAAATAGTATATCGAATCAGTGAGTCAAGTATGGACGTTTTCATGAACATGTTATTCAAATGAAGTCCTGATAACTCAAAGTAAAGCATTCATTCATTCAGCACAGACATTTATTTTGAGGTATCCATGTGGCCACTATTCTTCATTCTTCCTTTACATGATTTTGAATACTACTCACTCACTTCACTCTTTCTCCTACTTCTTATTTTTGAGCCCTTCCAACACCTTTCGTCCCACAGTCTGGAATTCATCTGAACCCAGAGTGCTCCAGAATTCATCTATAGTTGCAGGACCAATACTGTCCAATACAGCTAAATTGGCCTCCAACTTAGCAATCCTCCTGGCACTTTGCGATACAGCCAAATACTTGTCCATTTCTTCATTGGCACGATCCAATATTTGTTCACGCTCTACAACAGCGTCCAAAAATCCTAATTTGAGTGCTTCTTGTGGGTCTGTGATGAGCGTTCCTTGTTGAATGAGTCGAGCAGCCTATGAAACAAGGAGATATAAGTGAGAACCGAGTAGTCCGACCATAGAAGAACCAAAGAGCATACCAAACTGGGTCTCCCAATAACTTGTTCAGCAAGCACATGAATATACGAAGGCACACTCAATGAGATAGCAGCCTCCGTCAGCCCCATCGAGAATGGTTTTGAAAGTGGACCGACACGGTAGTCACAGCACATTGCTAGTACTGTCCCACCTGCTGGAGCAGCTCCGTTGATTGCTGCGACGGTTGGTATCTTCATTTTGAGCAAGAGCTCACAGACGTCGGTGAATGTCTCCATGTACTACGAGGGGAAGGGGATCGTTGGTACTGGTGACAAGCGCATACAGTGAACCTGTTGGTATAGTCAAGTTCACGAGTCCTTACATAACGAACTTGTTCCTCAAACTCTTCATGGTCCTGCGTAGGTTGTCGAATAACATGGTTTAGATCCAGACCAGCGGAGAAGACCTAATCACAGGACAATATGTGTCATTGTGTGTCTCAACCCCACGAGGAGCCGGATGCCACAGCCTAAAATGAGAATTTGGGTTCATATTCACGAATGTAGTACCTTTGGCAAGCTTGAAGCGAGAATCAGGCCCTTTGAATCACTTTCAGATATAGCCTCCAATGTTTCGCAGAGTTCTCCAATTGTCGCGTTTGTCAAGGCGTTTACAGGAGGAGAAGTAAGGAAAAGAGTCGTGACCTATCGTCAACATACAAATGTTAGGAAAGGAGCTCCAAATACAGTGCAATCAGCAACACGAACTTTTGTGACTGCATGTGTGTCTGTGATGATGCGAGGTTTTGAAGTCTCTGTCGAGAATGTCCTCAACGTGTTGACCTTCCAGCAAGCCTGACGTGCTACTCTGGCTCCAATTCGAATCATCTTGGTAGTCTTCAGCGAATAATCGTGTTTGGATGAGGTTGTGACTAGTTGCGCGTCAAACAAGTTGCAGAAGGGATTTATATAATAGAACGCGGATGAGAAGGCGTATATTTACTAGGAATAGGGTCCTCCAACGCGTCGCGAAATCCAAACTTTATATTCACACTGCGCAAAAACCAAAACAACAACGAGCAATGATAAACTAGGCAAGAATGAGCTTATTACGAGAGGAAAGTGACGATTCGGGTGAAGAAGATGATCACGATCCAGCCACGTTCCTAGTCTCATCAAGCAACAATAACAATCTGGATGTGTCCCAAAATCACATTGCTTTTGGATTGGGAGGACAGCAGCAGCAGAGAGGCCAACTATTATTGTCAACTTCTGCTCAAAAGAATTCCAGCATACATTCTACAATGACCAGCACGGGCAGCAACCTGGGCACTTATCAGCCTCCTGACTTGAGTGCATTGGAATCAGGTGAAGATGATGACGACGACGACCAGGATGATGATGATCATAATAGTCAGATTCGACAGCCTGGATCTGCAATCATTGCTGCAGATCCACCATTTGCTAGGACACTACAAAGTAGCTTGGACGGACTACCTGCTCAATGGCCCAGTACACATACGGCATCCGTTATCGCAACAAACCCATATACTACCACCGCAACTGCTACTGCAATCCTCTCGCACCAGCAGCAGCAACAGATGCCGATGAATACAAACACTGTACCGTCATCGTCATCATCTGCCACGACACAATCCGCACAGTACCAAAAGTCAGGCTATCAGCCTCCAAAGCTATATGACGACGACGAAGACGAAGACGACGACCACGGTGACAACCACGATGATCTAGATCCATCTGATGACGGATCTGTATCGCCATCCATCATGATTGAAATGGAACCATTTGTGAAGAACAAGGAGGCTGAACGTGACTTGTCAAAGCACAATAATAATAATAATAATGACAGCAGTACCAATAGTAAACGTGGTCGAGGACCAAAGTCACGGCATCGTACTAGTGCTGATCATAATAATGCTGTGGGGAGATCATCGATGGATGAGGCTACTCAGGGTGCTTATAATGCTAAACAACGGGCTCAACGAATATGGACTAGTCAGAAGAATCTGGATGTCTTTTTGAAACGAGTTGCGTGTTTGGTTGGTTTTGGTTTCTTTGACTTTTGTGATGTCACAGAGCTGACAGGTCATCGCTCGTTTAGATCTATGATTATTACATTTCAAAGGGCGTAACCTGTATATTTCTTGCCAGGATGACGAATCTAATGTATGCTTCGTGCGAATTTGATTGTTTTAGTTTATCATTGCTCACATTTTTTGTTGTGATTGTGAATTCACAGAATCGCTGCATTCATCGTTGGATTCTCCACCTTTCTATTCTATTGTGTCGACCACTCGTTGATACCAAAGAGTCACAGGATGTCAGAGGTGCTGAAGGATCAATGCATGTCAAGGTAGGATTTCAACTCGTCGCCTAGTGTATGCTTTCCCTATAACCATATTTTTTCCTCGTCCTCGTCCACTTAGCCTGCCAGTATTCACCAGCATGTTTCTCTTCTTTTTCGTGATTTGGTGGATATGGATGCTGTGCAAGATTATGTTTGAATTGCCAGCTCTGCTCGAGATGCAGCAATTCTTCATTCATGTCCTCGAGATATCTGATGTAAGGGCGTTGTGGCTTCACTTGAATAGCTTCAAAAAGGAGTGTTTATGTTTTTCCTCATCAAATTCTCAACGGATTTCTTCCATAGAGAGATCTACAACTTATGCAGTGGCAAGACGTAGTCCCTCGCATCGTCCGCTTGAAAACTCTACCAGGCTTCAACCCAAACCGCATCCCAGCCATAGATCGACTCGACGCTCATGCTCTCGCAAACCGTATCTTCCGTGTCGACAACTATATGATTGCCATGTACAACAAGGATATCTTGGATTTGTCGGTCCCGTTCCCATTCCCGGTCCCGTATATCGGCAAACGACAGTTTTCGACCAAGATTATGGAATGGAATTTGAATTATTGTATATGGACTTGGGCTTTTGATGAACGTGGTGCTATACGGAAGAGGTTCTTGAGGGATGTCAACAGGTAAAGGTTCTAGTTCTTGACGACAGACTGGAATTTTTGAGTAACTGACCTTGTACCCATGATAGGGCCAAGCTTGTAAATGAGTAAGCCGTTGCTGTTCTTCGAAGACTGCTGTAAGTTGTTTTGACTGGGGTTGTTTTAGATTGAAGAGGAGGTTCGCCTATGCTGCTCTTTTCAACCTCTTGATTGGACCATTTCTTTTCATGTTTATGATTATGCACTACTTTTTCAGATACACTGAGGTATGTATGCGTTGAGCTGTGAGCAAGGGGGAGGAAAAACACTAATGTTGACAGCCTGACATGACATTTTAGGAATACCAAAAGAACCCTGGCACATTGACTACGCGTTCCTTCTCGCCTTTTGCTACATGGAAGATGAGAGAATTCAACGAACCTCCTCATCTCCTACAAGAGCGTTTGGCTGCATCCTTCAAGACTGCCATGAAGTATATGAACTCGTTTCCGAAAGAGTACATTATCATCTCTGCACGGTATGTTTTGGACGTTGTCGTAGTCGTAATGGCCTCTCAACAAAAACAAAGATCCTGAACTCACTGACATATCGCACCATATTAGATTTGTGGGATTCATAGCTGGCTCATTTGCAGCAGTATTAGCAGCCTTGGCTCTACTGGACGAAGACTTTTTACTCGAGTTTCAGATAACAGAAGGACAAACAGTCCTGTTCTATATTGGTGTCTTTGGTGGTATTGCTGCGGTAGCTCGTGGAATGATTCCTGAAGAATCGCATGCAGCTTCACCCGAACCACTCTTTCGAGAGGTGGTTGAGTATACACATTACCTGCCTAATGAGTGGAGGGGGAAGTTGCATACTGAGGCGGTATGTGTCGACTTCTGCTGCACAGAGCAAAAAAATAATAAACAGGTTCATTATCCATTGATCCTATAGATCAAGAACGAGTTTGGAGTCTTGTTTGAATACAAGATTGTGCTCTTCATTCATGAGATACTGTCGGTGCTCTTTGCGCCCTTCATTCTGTTCTTCTCATTGCCTGCTTGTGCTGAGGTATGGTGTAATTGACGGAGATTCTATAGGATTAGTAGTCATTGTATTATTTTTATGCAGGGCATTGTGGACTTTTTCAGAGAATTCTCTGTGACGGTGGATGCATTAGGAAATGTCTGCTCTTTCGCAGTGTTTGATTTCAAGAGGCATGGGAATGTTAAGGTAGCTGTGCTGTCATGATCTATTCCGTCATTTTGTGTAACCTCTTTTTGGCAGCTTGGCTAACACTTCGAATCAAAACAATAGTATGGAGCACCATCAGAAATGAGCAATGAATACTATTTGTCAAAGGAAGGCAAAATGGAGCAATCTTTCTTGAATTTTAAGGTGACTTGATTTTGGATGTTACAGAGATAACAATTGTTCTGGACCCACCCACGTATTTTTGGCATGTTCTTACACTTATTCCTTCAAAACTAGGCCAACAATCCAGATTGGGAACCAAACACCGATGGTTCCCAATTCATCGCCAACATTGTAAATAGACGTAACGAGTTGTCCGCTAGTATGGCGAGACCACCTCTGGTACCGAATCCTGGTATCTTGCATGATGGATTTGGAGGTGCTAGTACTATGGGATTGCCAAGAGCTTTTGGGTCTCCCCCTCGACTTCGTGTAAGCTACATATTTCTTTCAAATCAAGAAACAGCTTGGAGCCAGTGCCTTGTTATGGAATCGTTTTGATTATCGCTTCCATTTTTTCGTCTCATACCGTCATTTTTCTTACCAGCGACCATCACATGTAAAATTCGACAACCAATCTTCCACTAGGCCAGGACCAGCCAACATATCGCCCATGTCTATACCGCAATCCTCATCATCTCCCAACCACAATAACAATTACACTTCACCAAACAATAACAACACACCACTATCACATCTCAGCTATCCAATGTATACACCACCACAACAGCCACAACAACAGTATGGTGGTCCATCAGCAATAGGAATGTCATACATGGCTCAATCCATGTTTGCGTCAGAAATGTCTGATGGCAGACAAAATAACGCTGCGTTTGGACTGTTTGGGTTGTTGGAGGCTGCTTATGAGGCTAATAGGACCTTGTATTGAGATGTAATGCTGGGTTTGGGTGGTATGTTACTTGTTTAAGAGTTTGTATTATTGAAGGGCCTCGTTTTTTCGTATAAAGGTTTGATGATTTGTATGCTATGATTTTTTTTGTCGAGTGGTGCACGTTGGGAGTGGTGTAAGAGAGATGAAGCGGGTTTTTGAAGATTTCATCGTGAAGGTACACCTCAAATGAAGGAAATTCAAAGCAGGGAACAACAACTAGCATGTGCAGTGCCAAGCAAAACTACGAATGCCAATAGCAGCAAGTTGATGTAGTTCCTTTTAAATACTGGGTGAAGTGCTCGTATGATTTGGAGAGACTTGTTGATGTTTCTTAGGAATGGGGTTTGGTGTTGATGCGTGAGGGATTATTCGTGTCAAAGTGTGGAGGAATGGAGAAATCATGTCAAAACGTAGGACGCGTGACAATAATTATTATACTGACACAGTGATAAGAGCCCAGTAGACGCAATGGCCATTTAGGCTTGTGGTGACTCCATAATGTCGTCATGCAAGGATATAATGGTTCAGTATCTTTCCTCAAGCATGAGTAGTCGTTATTTCATGAATTTGGGCATATGGACACGGTTTTGTGTAGTTTTGGCTTGCAACAGCGTACATACACGGGCCCGGTGTTGCCTTGAAACTTGGTTGGGCGACTGGCGCAATTCGACATTACGTTTGATCTAAACAACAAAAAGTGATTTTAATGCGAGGCTACGCGTTTGAGGCTAGTTTGTAAACGATACATGGGATTCGAATTCCTTCAGCGGCGGTGATTATAACGTCCGTTTCAGTAAGTTGTTGCTTCTGACAACATAATAGCTCACATCCGAAGAAACGAAGGAAGGTGCAAGTAAGGCTCACAACTGATTTGCAGCTTATTTTGGGGAGGCCCTTGACCTGGGAGTCTTGAGTCTTGCATTTGTCTGAAACCATTGCTTGGGCCAATTTGATTCTCAAATTTTGAACAAGGTTTTCAATGGAAACAATAAGACATCCATAAATAAACGTAGGAATCCACAATTGTTTGCTGTATGGATAATCGTCCCTGTATTGACAATCTTGGCAATTGCTGGTGTGGCATTATTATCAGCATCAACCCATGTAAACAGCAGCAAACGGACAGGCAAGAGTATCAAACCATCAGGCCAAATGGAAGCTGTTACAGCTATTTCGGACAAGGGTATTTGTTTTGAATGCTTGGAACTATTTCGTGTGTGGTTGTCCTTGCTTTTCGGGTCTCATTTCTTGCAATGTGTGGTTAGATGATGGACTGCCGAATGAGCTATGGGACATTATTCTATCAAAGGCATCTGTTAAATCTCTCAGCAGACTCTCAAGGACCTGTAAAGAAATGAACTCAATCGCCGTCAAGTACTTGTATCAGAATCTGCCCCACGTACGTCGTAATGCGTTTCCATCGAATGCGAAAATGGCGTCGTGACCTGATTGTTTCTTTGAGAATTAGGAGGATTTCTATACCTGTCTCTCGCGCCATCGGTATCCGAAATCCGAGGAATCCTGCATTTTACTCATGCTCAGGAATCGAACGTCGAAACCCAACTCGTATCATCAAGACGTATTCAAACATGTTCGCAGTGTGAACATGTATAAGCTGTCTTTGCATATCTCGCGTGTCTTTGAAAAGGAATATCTCAAAGGTCGCATCGTTAGTTCTCTTTCTGCAGATGAGCAGAAGACTATGTAGGACAAGGCTACAGAACGTATTATCCAAATTGCTATTGACTTGATAAAAAAATGCTATCTAGCCACTGATATTGAATGGGACAAGGAATCGATGCATCGTACCCTACGCTACTACCCTTGTACAATCAACTCACTGTATTTGGACGACGCTATATTCGACCTGCCTGACTTTGCAGAGTTTATGGCGAAGTCTCCTGCCATCAAGCACCTAAGATACAATGGTGAATCCCATGGATGTGCAGCAGCAGCAAGGTTTATCAAGACGCAGCGGCTTGAAACCGTATCTGTAGAGTCTGATTATAAGGATAGTGGACCCACCTTGATGGCCTTGGAGCACAGCAGCTCCCTCACTCTAACCGAATTGACATTAAAACATCTAGAAGTAGACCAACCACACGATATTCGCCTTGTTAAGTATAGGAATTTGACCAAGTTGGAGTTGGATCATGTCCAGTTGTATCCTACGTTCTTTACAGGATTTGAAAGCACAACGGGCAAGCTCAAGACCCTGGAATTGTCTTGTATTGGAGACTTTAATCCATCCGATATTTGCAGTATAATCGAAGCCAGTCATAAAACAGTCGAAATCATTTCGCTCACCCATCCTGGCGCCGAACGATTTATAAATGACGGAGAGCCTCTCCCTCCACAAGATCAGACCGTATATATGGATCGCTCCATATTTCAGCACGACTTTGCCCGTTTGAATACAGTAAATATGTCTGTAGGAGACGCCAATCGTGGAGACTTTTGTAATTTCGTGACGACTAGAGGCTACCAGCTCAAGGATCTTCGTCTATCTGAATATACGGAAGGCAATACGTTCGATGTTGAAGTTATTATAGAGCACTGTCAAAATCTTAAAAATCTGGATCTTGATAATTTCGACCTTCCCAGTGAAATCGTGGAAGCTCTAGTACGTAGATTGACCTGTCTGAGGTCATTGGTGTTAGATCCCAAGAGTAGAAGTATATCAGCAAATGCCATTTTACAGGGAGCAGAAGCTCGTGCTAGATCATCCAGTCAACTACGTCTCGACTGTCGTCATGGTGCTTTCAATGTCAGTGGTGAGCTAATCGAATGGATGAAGCCCATTCAGAAAGGGGAGAGGTTTTCGAGGCTGGTGGATAAATTCAAGGAGATTTTGGAAGGGAATAACGTGGAGTGGTATGGGGATGAATACAATGTCTTCAAGGACATGGACAATAATAAACTCATCGTGCACTCAGAGTTTGACGACGAGGACTGGGGAGAAATCGAACCCTCCGTGTAAAATAGTGTCTAGTATGTAAATCTGTGGCGTAGACTATGTCTAATATAGCAGATTGCTGTTTAGACACGTCGGGGTGCATGATGTTTAAGCGATGAACAAACGCACAGTCTTACACCGATCGGTCTGTACAATGGAGCGCGATTCCATGCCAATGTTACCAATGTTACTGATTGATGGTATACAGCTTATTTTGCTTGTTTATAGCGGCTGTTTTGGTCTAGGAACTGAATTTGTGGACTGTGGTAAGTTTGAACAGCAAACCAACGATGTTTCCAACGCGTGAACCTTGAATCATTTTCGTGACTGCCGTTTCTTGTTCTGCCTATCACTGGATTAACTTGAATCGGCGAGGTACTCTAAAGCAGCTACACACCAACTCGATCGTGAAATAAGATTTAAAGCTTGCTAGACGGCAGGATAAAGTTGAGCTAGACTGCTAGGCTTGGTCATCCTTTACCAAATATAGTTCAGCACAGCCTCGGAGTCTTTGCATTTCCCCCTCTTTATAGCTAGGACCCCATCCTTTTTTCCACTTCCACCCAAGACTAAAATTCGCGACAGAATCCAGCAATGAGCAAAGTGTGGACGCTAGACGCCGTCAAGAAGGCCAAGGAAGCTGGTGAACTGATCATCATATACCAGGGCAAAGTATACAATATTACTAAATGGCTTCCCTATCATCCTGGTGGTGCATTGCCCCTCCAACACATGAGTGGCAAGTGTTTTGAGAGCAAAAATTCATTCGTTGACATAACAGGTGCATTCACGCATAGCAGACACTAATATCACATGCATCCCTTCTAATTAATAGGAATGGACGCTACCGATGCAATTACTGCCTTCCACCCTAAATGGGTTCTCGAAGAGAAATTACCAAAATTCTGTGTCGGTGGTTTGGCTGAATATCACCCATCAAAGGCATCAAGGGACTTCCTGGCCCTCGAAGCTAGACTGCAAAAGGAGGGATACTTTGAAACAAACTACTGGTTTTACGTCAGGGAATTCATAAAAACTTGTATCCTCACTTCCTTGGCAGTGTGGCTGTTGGTCAAGGGTCGTCCGGGCTGGTTTGAAGTCGTCGCCAGTTGTCTCACTCTGGCTGCCATGTGGCATCAAGTTGCATTCGTGGCCCATGATGGTATGTCCGTTTTGCACCGTCTCGTATGCGCGCATCGCCTTGTGTTTGAGTCACTATGATCACGTTTCGGTTGCTAACCAAAAAGACATTTTTTTCGTTTTAGCTGGTCATAATGGGATTACACATAATCGTTACATAGATGGTGCTATTGGAACACTGGTGGCCAACTTTGTTGGAGGTCTCAGTATTGGTTGGTGGAAGAGTAGTCACAATGTTCATCGTGAGTAGTAACTTTTTTGCCACAACAGTACATGAATCGCATATGCTCACATCCACCACCTACTCATAGACATTGTCACAAACGATCCAGAACACGATCCCGACATCCAACTGTTACCCTTCTTTGCAGTCACTACCCGACTGTTTACCGGTGTATACTCTACATACTACAAGGCCTTCCTCGAATTCGATCTACCAGCAAAACTATTAATCAGATTTCAACACTTGTACTACTACATCATTCTCGGATTCGGTCGATTCAATCTACACGCATTGAGTATCTCACACTTGTCGAAAAATAATCAAGTAAACCCATACCGCATGCACGAGATTGCATTAACATCTATATTCTGGTGCTGGTATCTTTATTTATTATCTTATGTCCCTACTTGGCCAATGGTCGTGGTATATGTCCTATTGGGTCACATTGCAACATTCTTGTTGCACGTACAAATCACCCTGTCGCACTATGGAATGTCGTGTGAGGAACATGCTGAGGATGAAGAGTTCGCAGTCAAGGCACTAAGAACTACTATGAATGTCGATTGTCCATGGTATATTGATTGGCTTCACGGTGGACTTCAAGTAAGTATTCATACTGATTTTTTGATTCGGGTTTCGCCTGCTCCAAAGTTTGAAATCTACCTTCCCTCATGCTCAATCAGTAACGTACAACAATGTCTGACTTACAATTCACCATCCACATAGTTCCAAGTTGAACACCATCTATTCCCAAGAATGCCGCGTCACAATCTCCGAAAGGTCAGGCCTTTCGTCAGGCAGTACGCAAAGGACAATGGAATAACGTATGTAGAATACCCATTCGCTGAAGGCAACTGGGTAGTGCTTGCAAATCTCAAGCACGTTGCGCTTCAAGCTCCATCTCTCGCTTCCATTTTGGGAAAGGAATAAAAAATAATAGGTCCATTCCATCCCTCTCACTCTCTTTGAAAGAACGTTATAAAACGATAATAATAATGGTTGTGGAATCTATGGCTTTATATAGATGAGAAAAAGCGTGTGTGAATAGAGTATAACAGATCTAGTTGACGACATTAGTATAACCCCCGAAATAAAATGGTTTTTATATACCCAAGTGGTTCATCTGATTCTGGTCATTCTATTTTGTTACGAGATTGCGAATACATATGTTTCTATGGGATTGCGAATACTAAATATATGACTGCCATCAATACTAGGAGCATCACTTTTTAGGCCCGCACTACTATACAGCAAACCTTCACATCCTGCAGACCCTTTACAATCCATTTCTTACACCTCGTACAGCCTCGGTAGTTTTCAGCTTGCGAATATATGCATGATGATCAATCACTTTGGATCGAGACAACAGGAGACGTCCTCCAGACGAATTATATACTGCCATAGTGAGACCGTCGTGGAGACGATACGAAAATGTGTACATATTCAGTGGCTTCATATTTGTCTCAACTCGTGTATTGGCAATTCGTTCTGCCAATTCACGAGACACATCGAGTCTTATCACAATCTAGATACTGAACCTCTTTGAGTTTGGTGGCCATGAGCTCTAAGTGAGCATCATCAGCATTATACATATGTGTCGAGATCAATTCCTTCACATCCAACCCAGCCTTTACTTCTGCTTCATATAAGCCGTTCTGGATTTCTCCATTATAAAACTTTTATTTGACTACCGTATACAGATAGTAGTGGTAGTGCAATTGGGCTCGAGGAGAGGCAAGGCAGATCTTCGATCTTTGCGATTGGTATGGTGCGTGGTGGATTGAATGCGAAATGGGGTATATATAATTTACGTAGCGATGATGCACGACGTTCTATGAGTTCCGTGACGATTGTATTCAAGACGGGCAAGGAATATTATATGTCCAAGATCAAACATTCAAGTTTGCATCTGACTCCTGGTGATGCCAACTACCTCAATATTTGGCTCCTATCAGCAAGTTGCCAGTCACCTCGAAACTCAAGAAATTTGAGATTCATAAAGTCTGAAACCTCGCCAGAGTTTGCGGGAAAGGCAAGTCCTGGGTTAGTGCCGCAAAGCATTCTGAATGATTTCATACTTTGGGTACTCCAAGCTCGTAAACTCTGCATTAGTGAAGGTCCCCCATCACTATAACGTGAGTGAAAGCTTTCTACTGCTATATGCTGCAATGCAATCAACGTTGAAGCTGATGGATTTGCCAATATGATGGTGACGTCCACTTCACAATTCGGATTTCCTGCAGTACATGAGAGAGCGACTTCATCCTCCATGTCCTCTTCAACACTCTCTAGATGTATCGAGTCTTCATTTCAAGCATGTTGCAACATACTGGATATGTAGTCTCGAATTTCAACATGGCGAGTAGAAGCGCATCGTCCCATGAGACGAGCGATCCGTTCGCTATCAAGGAAGATGGCATTAACACTTTGTAAACGATGGGTTGGGAAACCAGTAAGTCGGATGACAACCACAACCTTAAAAATTACTGCAGTCTACCAATTGCAGCATTCCAAAGCGTCAGCGACTCCGATGCCATATACTTTTAGGTGCTCAACGCGTCTTGTCCAAATGTTGTCGATTGGTGACGTTTCATGAAGACGTTGTAATTTCTTATAGAGTGTTCGAAGAGCCTATTGAGGTAAGATAATTATGAACTTCACGTCCTAAATCGTCAAACTTGGATCCCTCAAACAATTCTTACACATTCATTCCACTGTTTTGCTGCCTGAGCAAGTCTCCTAACATCCATAGATCCATCATTTTCTATGTACTCGAGTTTCTTTTCAATAATCTCAGAGGGCAGCATGGCTGCTTCTTCTGGCATCTCTGTCATCTCCGCCATCTATTGTGATTTGAAATGAGAAATTGGTCAAGTCAAGAATTCAAGACAAGATTCAAGATGTCAGAACAATATTCCATTCGATTATGGCTCTCTCTATCTCTCTATCGTCATATTCCCTTTTCCTTTGAAATCGGCACCTTTGAAGACATTAAAAACTCAAGATGTGCTCCCCAGCGACAGTTTACGTGATTTGAAAGACAATTTACTGTTTTCGACAATCCGGTTACGTGTCATTTATGCTGATGAATCCAAAATCCATTGTGGACGTGATGCTACTGGTTCTTTTGCAGAGAAAACCGTTGATCTGTGGAATAATGGTGACATATCACATGGAACTGCTCGTCTTTCGTGTAGTATAAGAAGAGCTTGAAGACCGTCATAGTATTTCTCGATTCGATGTATTGCTCAGCTCCTTTATCAAATCAAACCAGGCAATCTTCGGAGAAATCTACCATCAGCCAAATCCTCGCTCGCGAAACCGTTGGCGAGAGCGTCGACGCTCCTGCTCTTAATCCAAGACCGACCTAGTAATCTTGTTATTAATTGTTTCTTCATTTTCGCATGTGTGGAACGGCTCAAAGCATTCTGATCAAACGTTATATGTCACGAGACGTTTGAGGAAGCACCACTACCCCTTCAGTCCCAACCTTTCACACCAGTTATGACCAAGTCACTACCCTTTTAGTCCCAACCTTTCACACCAGTTATGACCAAGTCACTACCCTTTCAGTCCCAACCTTTCACACCATTATTGACCAAGTCAAAGCTCCACACATCGCTAAATTTGCGGCACTGAAACAATCTGAGTATTAATCATCCTCTTCAAATCCTCAGTTTTCTTCGTATGATTGGCAGAAACAAGTCCACAACACGATTTTAAGATAGCTCTTACGGCAAAAGCTTGTTTAGGTTTGCTCCTGCACACGCAGATATAATATACGGATAGATTGGATACTTTGATTACACGGAACAGCACAACAAACACATACACTAAGTGTTCGGCACTTTCTAGACAAAGCTATCGGAAGCCAAAGTAACAGTTGCCCCATTTCGAGGCTTCTGTCCACCTGTTCAGAATCTTGAAACGCTACAAAATGGCGGACATAGCATCAGCTGCTATTCCAATGGCAAGTGACACAGCATCAGTTGCTGTTCCAATGGTACGTTTGTGTGAAAGGATTCGATTAACCAAAGAGAACGAAGCAAAACTCGAGGACGATTCACATGATTTTGAAAAACGATGCATTCTTGTCAAGCCACCAATTACGCGTCATTTCCGCTGCTCAATCTTTTGTTACTGGGAATGTTTTGCTCTCGTGTGTCTTTGAGCAGAGACGTTTTTTCAAACATTCGACGACTGTTCTCCGTACTCCGTCGACCCAAACCTCTCAAAGTGCATCTTCATTCGATACTTACTATCAGCGCATTGACGCTTGTGATCGCTGACATTTCGCCCCCTTTTACCCTAATTTTAATTTCCCGACCGGGAGCTTACCTTTTCTCCTGAACTTGGAACCATGTGTCTGATCAGTAATTTTTGAACCATCTGGTCAAAATCTCGAGACAAGAATGGCGGACTTCACTTCAGTTCTAACAATAGTGGTAAATTCGCGTGTGGGTTCGTAGAAGGTCATGTCAACTAGTAAACGTTCCTCTTATTGTTTAGATGGGGAATTGCTTGTTTCTGGGAGCTTGTTTTGTCATCAATTTGCAAAGTGTGAAGCTCTGTCTTTGCAAGCCAAACACGTATGTTGAGTCAACTGACCTTGTTTTTCTTTCACAGCACTCTTCAACCATGGTTTACCAAGTCCGTCCAAAATGTTGCTGAGCGATGCAGAGAGACAGAAAACCCTAGCACTGGTAATGTTGTTGGCTTCAGTCGGTATGTGGGCTAAAGTTTTTTGCCCTTTATGCTCTTAACGGCTCATTCGGCGTGACGTTTAGATGTCACCATCATGGTTGGATATACGGGAAGCAGCATGATAAGGGAGAGCAATGCCGTCGGCATTCTAATGGCTTTTCTGATTCTGGTATGCAATATTGCATTGTTTCTTGTTTGGAAGATATTCTGACCTTCTCATGTCTTCTTTCTCAACAATTGTAGTTTGGACTCGCGATTTTGAATCACGGCTCGTTAGTCCGGTTGTATGTGTCATTTGCATCAGTGGCACCAAGAATTGAATTAGTCAATCGGATTTGTCTTGTCTTGTACTTTTTGCCTTTTGTGGTCATGATTCCGTATTGGATTTTGCTACAGCAAGACGTACGTTTGTATGAATGATTCATTCACAATGAGAGGGAATAACTGTTACTTTCTTCATGTCTTCTCGGCGTTTGAACAGATTACTCTGCCCATACCTGTCTTCGCGGTTCCAATTTTCCACAATGTATACGTGCCACTTTTCTGTAAGTACTCTATAAAAGAACTCCATCTTGAAGCATCCGGTAGGAAGGAGGTCGCTAACGCCCACAATACTTTCGTTAGTTGCTGTGGTACTAATTATGTTTCGACGCGTTTGGTTTGGTAAACCTATTTCACCAACTTCCATCACCACAATGACTTAGGCTTTGACAACAGAAGTACTTGCAGTATTGTGTGATTACGCACTCGTTCGTAAAGTGCTCGCACAAAAGCAATTGCTGCAAAGCGCCATGGGTACAAGTACTTTCTCGCCTAAAGGTCGGAGATCTTCATTAGTGAAAACTACACCATACAAATTACTGGCCGTATACTTTTGTATTTGGACAAGTTTGACACTGGATATCATACTCAAGTTTTTGCTTATCTTGTAAGACTGTTTTCGAATTTGGGACTTTCAGGGTTAGTTATGAACAAATTACTGATTGCTCTCTGTCTCCGTAATAAGCACACCCTTACCAGTCGTGTTTGACATACCTGTGACTATGTTGACAATGTCACTGCGGGCAGCCGCAAATCTACAATTTGGAACCACAATCAAGTCAGCAACAGAAGCACCTCAATTAGAATCGCCGCGTCAAACAAGATGGAATAGTTCACCAGGAAAGATTCTTGCTACTCAACCGGATGACCCAACAGTTAGCGTTTAAATCATGCCCAAAAGTTGT